CTAATATGAATGCAAGAATTCAATAGTAAGCTATTCTTTTTAAACAATTTAAATATTTTAATTACTAATAGTAACTAAATAAAACCCAAGTGTCCACTTAATTTAAAAACCTATAAATATTTAATTTTAATATCATTTTAAACAATTAACAAGGTTAAAGCATTTCAGTGTAAAAATGTTTTCAAATGACTATAAATCAAATATGTCATCTATACTTTACTCATATCCAACTCTGAGTTAACATTCCCAACAGAAAGGACAGACACTAATTAGACATGTAGCAATCCTAATCCACTAGAAACTAGTTGTGACTATGCTTGAACTTAGTAACTCAGTGAAGCAAAAGGCAGTTTCCATTTTGGCCAATATCACTATGTTAATGTCCAGTAAAGACTAAGGGCCTTTATATGATGGTATGAATAAACAATGTGTGCAATAAGACACCACTTGAATTAAGGGTAGACAGAAAAATACTTTTATAATAAGTTTTCAAATCAGGAGATAAAACTTACAAATCATAACAGGTAAAAGGATGACAGACATTCAAGAAAACACGGCAGAACAGAAAGGTCTTGTCTCTAGAATCAAGATAGAACTTAGGTTTAAGTTTGGCTGCCTCATTGTTTACCATTCTTATGACCTAAGTTTTAAATTTGTTTCCTTACATGTGAAATGGGTATACATCATAACATTATTAGAAGTAGCATATAGATATTTAAAGTCAATATCAGCTCGGTAATATAAATGATTAAATAATGGTGGAAGTCCATGGGTGACTTTTCCCTCCATTTTTAAATTTCTAAAAATATTTTAAACATAAGTGAAACTTTTAACTAGAATATATATATAACTAATATAAACACACCTCTCTAAACTTAAAATCATTTTTACTAGCTACCATTTATGATTTTGCTTATAAGCTTAAAATTTGTAGTGGGGATAAGTACTAGGGAAAAAAAAGAGGGGGAAAAAGGTAACTAATATTATACCAACACAGACATACACAAAACAAAAAAACTGGAGAGGGAAATAGCAAAAGGAAATGCTGTTTGGAGAAATTCCCGATTCAGGCTATGCATGGAAAAATTACATCCATGTCCTGAACTCAGCTACTAGGTAAGCCACTCCTCACTCAAATGTACATTACACAAAAATTTATGTAGCTATTCATCCTCTCCTCTCTACTAATGGTCACCAACGCCACATGGTAAAAAATTTAAAGGAGGATGAAGAAATTTAGGATGTTGAAACAAAGACAAACACCTGATTGGGAAATAATTTCACTAAAATGAACTCACTCCCAAGCACAGCTATTCATCAGCTGACAGTAATAAAATGAACTCCTAAAATATTTAACCTAGTTCCTGCCTCTTTCTTTATTAACTGTCTTTATAGGTATGGCCTAAAATGGAACACAAGCAAAAGCATACAATCCTCAAATGACCACAGGGTGGAAATTTCAAGTTACTATAGAAGTAATGATGATAATTACAATAATCATTATTACTAACAATTGCTCTTATTGTGTGCCAGAAAGCTAAGGACTTTACATGAATTCTGTAAGTCTAAACCTCTATAAAGATGGTATTCATCAATAAATCTACTTGTCTAACGTTTACAGTGCTAAATTTGAACACTGCCCGTTCTACTTCAAGGCATACACTTTTAAACTTTATCCTTTCCTGCCTCCTTACACATAAACATTTACAAATGTCAACTGATTCTATATGTATGTGTATACATAATGTGTGCTTGTGTGTGTGTAAAACATTCAGTGAGTCAGTATTAAGCAAAAGACAATTCTAATTTTGGAAAGGCTTTTTATCTACTGTCTTAAACCATTCAACAAAAAACTGAGAATCATTCTCCCTCCACAATAAGTGGTACTTTCAAGTGCTAGTTATATTTAACATCTTCCTCAAGAAACTGACAATGTGTGTACATATATATATATATATATATATATACACACACACACACACACACACGCACATATACACATACATGCAATAAGCTTGCAAATAAACACATAAAAGAATTTAAATATCACCTTTCTAAAAAATTAAATAATTGATAGAATACAAGTAAACATTCTTTGTAAGCTGTACTTTAATCTTAACACTTTATTGGGTGTTTAAAATTTTTCAATAATTTGGTTCTTAACATATCACGTTTCTATAGTTTATACAGAAAGTATTTACAGGACTGAAGGTTTGGCTCAGTGGTAAAGGGTACACTAGAAGCCCTAGGTTCAATCTCCAGACCAACCAAAAAAAAAAAAAAAATCTTACAGCACTGTATTTTCAACTTAAATGTTATACATACTAAAAATCTTAACACATAAAATTTGAACATACCACTCTTAAGCAATTGAAATTCTACCACAAACTAGACTAACAGAATTAAATTTCATGGAACAAATCACTTATTGTATATGTTTATTTATTTATCACAGATTCAAAATCTTAAATGAATAGGAAGGCTACAACTTTCAGACAGAAGAGGTAAGATAAAGATTAGTAGAGGGAGACTGAAAAGAAACTCTTAGGAAAGCTAACTTGAATCCAGCCTCATTTTCTGCCACCCAAGAGAAGTGTGCTGTGCTATTGCTTCTCCTCTGGCAGGTTCCTCCTCTTCCTCTTGAAATCCTCTGCTTTTCTCCTTCTGGAAAGTCATCTCCTAATAGCTCTCAACTGTCAAAGAGTTTCTTATCTTGAATTTAAAAATACAAAAACCTTCTAATTCCATAATCACATGAGTTCCTCGTAAGTTCAAAAAGGAAATAAATCCAGTTTAACTTTGGCAGATCTGAGAAAAAATGAGAGTGGACCAACTAAGGCCTAAGAGATAAGAAAACACCTATTTAAAAAAGAAAGAAAACATCTTTTTCACAGAGACTCCACCTCCCTGAAGACTGAATGGAATGTGGTGTTCCATAACCTAAATTTCATGTGGTGGTACTCTAAGAGGAAAGAAGTGAAATACTTTAGCCATCCAGCAGGGTGAGCTAGCACTAGAATCAGTTTGATGATTTTCAAATACCTCAAAATTCAATGGTATAAATGGCTCACACTATTAAAAGCAGATACTGTCCTCTAATAAATCCGAATCAAAAATAATTCTGAAACTATTTCAATCCAAGCTATACATTATAACTTTGTTCAATCCTTACAGACTCAATGTACATTCTACACCAGAGATAAAATATAAGAGTAGGTGCTCATTTCAGTATCTAAATTTTACTGTATCCATTATTTATTCTCATTATTTTATTTTATAAGGCTACCACTTTTAAAATTTAAAAGTACTTTTAAAAAGTACTATAGTAACTAGTGTTCTACAAATAGCGGTTGGATATTCAATGTGCCAATTTCTACACTGTTTACTGCAAACTACAGCTGCCTTGCTATCTATGTGAAAAGCAGTCCTAAAAAAAGGCATCCCACAATAAGATCTGCTCTTTCCCTCCTAGAGTCACAAGTGAAAAGAGCCTAAACAAGACAGGGTCTTTGGGACAATAGAAAGATGTACCTCAATTTCCTCTACAGTACAGAGGATGTATTGTGACTCTGCTACCCATTTACAGTCTGAAACTGATCAAATTCTTTCCTATAATCTGAATGACAAACCCAGAAAACATTAAGGTTTACAAGTGAAAACTTCACTTTATAATTAGATAATGTGCAAGTAACCTTAATCATCAGACTAGAGTGTATAATTAAATCTATTCAGTGTTGAAAATTATGAAACAGCTATCAACATTCTCAGAAAAATCAATTAAAAAGCACCTTACATGACTGATAAGAGACTTAAAACAACTGTTTTTGCCAAATTTAACACCCAAAAAAGTTAAGTATTGTTGGATCTAACCATAAATGATTCTACTACTTGCTGAGTTTCCTAACAGACTTCAGTGTTGTAACTGCAGTAGTAGTAGTAGTAGGATTTCAAAAAGTTGTTTTAAAAAGAAGCAGTCTAAGTGGCATGTTTGTTTATCCAACCAAAAGGACTATTTTTCCACCTATCTCATTTCTATCTCATTTCTTAGGTAACAACTGGCAATAACTGGCAGTTATTTCATACTTTCCAAGAAATTCATCAAATATTTGGTTTTGCTTTTTAACTTAAATTACTGGGCCATTTGCTTGTGGAAATTCTCAAAATTCCTAAGTTAATCTACTGTGAAATTTCTGTATTTTCATCTGATTTCATTGAAAATTACTTCAAAAACTAAGTCACCACATTATGTTAAATGAAAATTAACTTACCGTCACAGTTCTCATTAATGTGATAGTATTTAATTAACAAGTATTTTCAGTGATACTCCCTTGTTTTGTTTTTAATCATTATTAGTTGTAGATATTCTCCTTCTCGTCCCAGAAATATGGCAAAGAATACAGAAATGGGATAGACACTGAAAGACAATTTTCCACTACGACATTAACTTAAGCATCCATACTACATTGTAAGAGAAGCAGGTAAGAACTGTGGTCGAGATTCCTTCTACCATAAAACTGTATGATCCAGGAATAAATTTTGCTAATAATATCTCCTATTCATTATTACAAGATTTTTCTTTATTATTAAAAATGGGATATGTATCTGAAAAGAAATAAAGTTTTAAGTAATTTTTAAGTTTAAATTTCATTTTTAACACAGAAACTTAAGTTAATGATCTAAATATGTTTAAATAACCCTTCAGGTAATTCTGTTAAAGGAAAACCCAACACATTTGTTACTCTGACATTGTACTTCAGTATTAATTACAGTATAAAAACATGAAGTTCTTGCATTGTAACTTTAAATTGTAAAATTCTAAAACTTAGAGAGCTATGATTTTTAAGGGTAGTATACATACCACTGCATTACTACTAGTTAAGCATTCATGTGACACCGATTAAAATGTCTAAGCTAAATTATAATTTCATTATAAAAAAGTTTTTTCTTACCAAACCTACCAAAATAAAATATTCCTAACGTTAAATTCCTGTGATACTTACACATGGCACTGAAGGTAAGGAGCAGATTTCCTTTCTCTGAGAAACTTTAGTTGTCTATTTTTAAAAATGCTTCCTGCTTCTTGTGGGACCTAACAATTTCACTAAACTACTGCAGACATAGGATTAAGGCAAATCTAAAATATCACCCTGATGCAAGCTTGGCATTAGTCAAAGAGTGGCCAGAACAGATGATGGTGTTGGAATACTTCTGTTGAGATTAACTTCTACACAAAACAGTACCATCATTTCAGGCCTCAATTATATATATATCCCTTCGCTGAATTTAATGATCACATAAAATCTGAAGTCTAAATATAGAAGTTTTATAACAACTGTATTGAAGTTAGTATTACTTAAAGCAGTTGAGGAAAACTTTTCCACTAAGGTCGCTAAACCATGGATGGATCCCAACACGAGAGTCGTCTGTGGAAGTCCCGCAACAAGAAACCTTTAGCTCCACCACCTAAGTTTCCAATCACTCAGAAGGGTCTGGGACAACTCATCTTCAGGTTCACGGGAGAAGTGGAGCACACCTGCTTTCCTCTGGCAGAGATTAAGCTCCCAGGGACACAAAGGCCAGGGAATCAGACCTGGAGAGGCAAAAAGCTTTAGCTGGACACCCACCAAGCCCCTGGCAACCCGAATACCTCCAGCGATTTACCTCTTGCTGTTACTTCCCAGGCACCTAGCCGCACAAGATGTTGCAGAACAGGGGGAGGGGGAGGGTTATGCGGTCCAGTCCCAAGTCAAGGGAGGGGTGTGTATAGTTCACGCCAGAGCCGGCGCCTCTGGCTAGGACCGAGCACCCTCGAAGGCAGAGGGGTTGGCTTGGCGACTGCCTTCGGACCGCCCCGTTACTCAGTGCACTGCAATGGCGACCGCCAGGCTCCCCAAGCCGCCTCATCTCGGCCCCTTCCCCCGACTGCTCACTGGCTGCTCAGCTTCATGTGACTAAACAAAACCCCCAAGTCTACAGCCC